TATGTTCCAATGGCTCCTTCAAGTGCTGGCAAAGATGTCCCTGCATCACATTTATTGCTTACATGGAGCGCCACAATGCATTATCTCAGATAGAGGCTTCCAGTTCACATCCAGAGCTTTTCTGGACCTCCTAGGAATTAACCAAGGACTCAGTTCCCATCATCATCTGCAAACGAATGGTGGGATAGAATGAATGAACTCAGTAATGGAGCAATACCTACATTGTTTCATTAATTACCAACAAGATGACTGGATGGACCTCTTGCCATTTGCAGACGTAGCCTATAATAACACTGTGCACATCAGCACAGGCTTCACGCCCTTTCAAGTGGCAACTGGACAAAACTTTAACACAATGCCTGAACTACCAGCCCAAGACCCCATGATCCCCTTTTTAAAAGAATGGATCAATCAATTGAAAAATACTTGGCCTGTTGTGCACGAAGCCCTTGCAGATGCTCGGCAGCTTATAAAATCCAAGCCGACAAAAAAAGAGTAGAGCCTAAACCATTCCACATTGGGGACCATATCAACCTGATTCCTACAGCCCCCGCAACCCTAAAAAAAACATAGGATCCTTTCCCATAAAAAGAACTATTAGCCCAGTCCCAGTAGAGTTAGAATTAACAAAGTCATTGAGAAAAATTCAGCCACTATTCCATTGTAGCCTCCTAAAACCAGAGGTGGTCTCGCTCCTAAGGCCAGCACCCCTCCAAACCCCAAATCTATCATGGTGGAGGGAGCATTTTGAGATTAAGGAAATCCTGGAGTCATGCATGCACCGGGGAGCCACCCAATACCTAGTAGCCTGGTGCCCAAAAGGTTGGGGACCTCTGCCCTAGATTACTTAAACACTTTCATGACCACTACCCTGATAAACCAAAATGAATGCTTAATCAGTATTTCTTATTCCCTCATTATTTTCACTTCTCCAGGTGGATCTTCCGTTCTTTTAGGGAGGCATGTCAGGTCCCTATCGGAATGCTGCCATCCCAAGAGGGAGGGGGAGCATGCATTATTGTGGATTGAGGATTGTGCATTATTTCTACTTTTGCTTTGATGTATCTGCATGAGAGGGAGGGAAGGGGGGAGAAACCCTCAGGGCCATCTGTTTTAACTCCTGATGAGAACAGCTGGTTTTCACCTTTTTGGCTTGAGGTTCTCACAACATCTTCATGACAGCAGACTGGCTCCTGTTGGACTAGGGGCATTGGTGTGGGTCTGGAGAGATGGGACTTTTAGCTTAATGTTTTTGTGTGGGAACTTCAGATTCTGCCTTGCTTCTTTGCAATCACTTTCTTTCAGTGAAATATCCTTTTGAAATGATGTCTATTTCAAGAATTTTACTTTCCTGAGGAAGTAGCTGAGGCAGGACCTTACAAAAGGTTGATTGGCCTGGAGCTTCATCTTTTTTTGCTCTAGACCCCGACTGCTGATTTAATATGCCTGCAAAGTCACATTCCTATTTAAAGTCTATTGTAAGAGATGAACTGTGACTAAAAGCTCTCATCTTAATATTTTATGTCAAAGAGTAAAATTTGGGGAAAGAGTGAAATCTATACCTTAGAGAAAAAAACCACACAGAAGCTTATATCTCCTAGCTTCCATATATTCAAGAAAATGGCAACTATGAAATCTAGCAATCTTTTTAAAAATTCTCTCTTTTATTTGAAGATAGGTTTTGGTGGAAAACAACAAGGAAAATTAATATGGGATTTTTTAAAAAAATCTCTTGTTAGTGTTTAATGATCACGGTCACTCCTCTTCTGTGGAATTACTCCTGTATTTTTTCCTTCTTTTGTCCCGTGCTATAAATATATATTTAAAGTACTTTACTAAGTATTAATGTTTTGTCCATTATTTCAGTGTTGGAGAGCATTAATGCAATGTGAAAGAAGGGTTGCCATGGAAATATCTCATTGTTGAATTGGAAAATAATTACTTTGCCAAAAAATCCAAGGTAACCTGTCAAATACTTGAGTTAAGGATGATTGGGGCAGCCTCAACTCTTTCTCTTAAAAATGGGGAATTTTGAAAATAATTTTTCCTTTTGTTATTGTACCTTGGAGGGAGGGAGTCATACATACAGTTTCATTCTGTGGCAAATATCAGAATGTATCATTATAATTGGGAATATAAATTCACTTTGTATTCCATATATATTAGGTTGACTTCACTTTTCTTTGCAATGATCTATAGCAAGGGTGTCAAACTCAATTTCATTGAGGGCCACATCAGCATTGTAGTTGCCCTCGGGGGGGGGCAGGGTGGGTGCGGCCTACTGGGTGGGCGTGGATAGAGTGGGTGTGGCCTACTGGGTGGGCATGGCCAGCTCTACATCATTCGCGTCAAGGGTGCATGTGGGGGCCTGGGCAGGAGTGGGACAGATTTGAGGGTCTCTGGCAGAAGGGGCTGGGACCAGGGCAAGTGCCAAGGCATGGTCCACTGGAGGAGCCTCACTGTTCCTCTCAGGCCATGCGGGGGGGCCTGGATGGTGGTGCCTGGCCCTCAAGCACCCACGGCACCAAGCCCAGCCCCACTTCCTCAAGGGGCGCGCCCAGCTGCACTTACCTCCTCCTCAAGGCTGCTGCTGCTGTGCTTACTCTCCTTAGCCAGGTTGTTCATGATGGGTATGAGGGCAAAGTCAGAGGAAGGCCCATTCCCTCTCCATGGGAGGAGACCCGACTTTGTATCCAAAGCTTCCTTAGCAATAGGATGGGAGACCCCCAGGATAGGCCAGGAGGAGGGGGCAAGGTGATGGTGAAAGGGCAGCAGGGCAGGACTAAGGCAGGACTTCCCTCAGACCCTCCCTCTCCTTCTTTCCTTCTTTCCTTTCTTCCTAAGTACAGAGTAGTGGGAAAATATTTGAGATGAGGGAGGGAGAAAAACAGGCAAGAAATGCAGCTGAGGAGGTGTCACCTTTCATGAGGAATAAAGAAATGCACCATCGCCTGGAAGTGGCCAGCACATGGCCCTCACCTACTTCACTTATCTGGCTTGGTGGGCTCTGGGGGGAAGGGATGCCATGAGCAACATGAGAATCGACATTACCTGTGCAATGCCGCCCAGCCCCCAGTTTGCCCAGTTTCAGCAGGCAGTGAGGCGCTCTCCTCATAGCACCGAGAGGCTAAGCCAGGTGGTGCAAATCTGAAAGAAGCATGACACTGTCCAGCCCCCAGCCTGCCTGGTTTGGGCAGGCAGCAGGGCACTCTCCTCACAGCACCGAGAGGCTGAACTGGGCGGCGCAAATCCAAAAAGAAGCGTGATGCTGCTGAGCCTGCCCAGTTTCGGCAGGCAGCAGGATGGTCTCCTCACAGCGCCGAGAGGTTGAGCCGGGAGGTGTGAAGCTCGCCAGCTTTGCACCTTGCTGCCTGCTGAAACTGGGCAGGCTGGGGGCTAGGCAGCATTGCACTTCTCATCAGATTTGCGCCACCTGGCTCAGCTCTTGGTGCTGTGAGGAGAGCGCCCTGCTGCCTGCCAAAACTGGGCAGGCTTGGAGCTGGGCAACCTCGCATTTCTTTTTGGATTTGCGCTGCCCGGTGCTGTGAGGAGAGCACCCCACTGCCTGCCAAAACTCCTTCCCCAAAGCCCATCAAGCCGGATATGTGAAGTAGATGAGGGCCATTTGCTGGCCACTTCCAGGCAATGGTGCATTTCTTCATTCCTCACAAAGGGTGACACCTCCCTAGCATGCACCCAAGGGGTAGGGCCAACGTGGCAGGGGCTGGTTCCTTGCTGTTTCTAAATGACCTTGTGGAGCTAAGACTGAATGCGTTTCAGCATAGATGGCCACCACAAAATTGTATATTGGCTCCCGGCTGGCCTGGGCCAGGGCCAAGGCAGCAGGGGCCATTCCCTCACTGTTTCCAGGATGGCTTCATGGGCCACATGAAACCACTTCGCGGGCCACATCCGGCCCCTGGGCCATGTGTTTGACATATCTGTTCTAGGGTAATATTTCTAGATATTACACCCTGTTTGAAGCATCATTGCAATGTAGCATTTATTTTAGCATGATAAGTATGGTGGCTAAAGTCCGTCGTATTTATCTTAAACATTCTTTAAATGTCACTAACTTGACAGCCTGATCTTTTGCTGTGGTGAATGAGAAAATAGGATCACACTCCCGAGCAGGGCTCATGTTTGAACAAAAAGAGTGAAAATCTACCTTCCTTTTTAATGTATTGAAAGTCTTGCTCAGTTGCCTGACAAGGCAAAGCACAAGAAATAAACTGGAGATGGAATCTACTGCATACCTACATTTATGCTATCATGTGGCCATTTAACATAAAACTATTGTTTAAAAATATTTGCTTGATATGTTAGCAAATGAGATTATAAGCAAGATGCACAGCATTTTTCATTATTAATAAAGGATCCTGGATGTATGGGGTCATAAAAATCAAGAGGTGCCCCTAAATTGTATGGTCCAGGTTTTATTCCTTGTTTATGCATGAGATACCCTAAGAGGGGCAGGACTTTGATTGCACAGTCCCATCCAATGTCTTTAATACCTCCTCCCAATGCAGAGGCCTCTCATTATTAGCAATATTAGCAATATTTTAAAAGAATAATAATAAATTATGAAATACTGGGAATTGCAGGTGGAATATTGGATGTACAGAGCAAAGTTGAATGCTTATGGAAAATGAAATCAATTGTTATATTAATCATGCCTGGAGCTCTCGGAGAATACTTAAAGGAATTCTTCTATATTTGGGGATATTGAATTTATCACACCTGGACACCCTTCTTTTACCAAAATTCCACTCTACTTGAAATTGCCTATGTTCTTAGATCCTACTGTAATAATTCTTAGGTCCTTGGTTAGAGCCTTAATTATTAAATTTCTACCAGTCTTAGGCTGTAAATCTAACTGTAGATTACTGATACTTAATAATTTTCCTGTCTTGATATTATTTAGATAGGAAAATATATTGTTTTTAAAATAGTAAAGTATATCTTTCCTGTTAAAAAAAACATTTTTCTCTCTCTCTCAGGACAGTGACAACTTGTGGTGGGATGCCTTTGCAACAGAGTTTTTTGAAGATGATGCAACCGTAACACTTTCCTTTTGTTTGGAAGATGGACCAAAGCGATACAGTAAGGGAACAAATATATTTTAATATTCCACTAGCTTGTGGTAGAGCTGAACTTATCAGTGATGAAATGAGGAGATATATAAAGTCCTCCTTCAATGGTGGGTTATATTGATTATGAAAGTCTTCTTCTGACCAAATTTAGAGGTTAAAGTAAAAATGAAATGATCGCTTCTAAGCATCCAGTCTGTATTCGAATAAGGAGAATAAACCTCATATATATGGCATTTATTTGAAAAGCTGAATTGGAGATTGATAAATTATGGGCAGGTAGATAATGTGGAAAAAAAGGCTTCTGGTCTGTCTCTGTCACAAATAAAAGAAACAAGAAAAGCCTCTAAGCAGGATTATTTCCCAGAATATTTTCATAAGCCCAATTCTTTTTTAAAGAGTTTCAGTTGCAGAATGTTTATATTGTACAGTGTAATCTTGTCATGGTTCTTTTGATGCATTCTCATCCAGTCTTCAAATAATGGCAAATTATGACTTGCTTGATGCAAAGGAAAAAAGATATCCCTGGTGCAGTTGTGGATTTTATGGTTCTGAGCAGTTGTTCAGTTATGGTCTTCAAGAGTGAGTTCAAAGACTCCTCATCATATAAAAATAGGAACATTCTTGTATACTTATAAAGCCTTAAAGCAGGATTCTCTTTCAGCCTGTTTGTCTATTTGACATATCTGAAACTACTCTAGAACCACTTTCCCATCTGGATTTCTGAAATGAAGGGAAGTCTTTAATCATTAAATCATTATTTACTGATATGACAAGATTTGTTCTTGCCTTATGGTAGGCCAGCCATCTCTACTTTTGAACATTTTCCTATTATGTGGCAAAAGAAGGAGCATAATCATGTATCACTTAAATAACCTTGAAGTTTATTCACACAAAACAGTGTGATAGCCATCAGTTTGGAGATATTTAAAAGAAATTTGAATCAGTTCCTAGAGGAAGGTGTATTGAGGGCTATCAGTTGTAGATTCCAGTTTGGGAGTAGCATACTGTATTTCAAAATATCAGTTATGGGAAAACAGTGGTGGGAAAATGTGTTTTTATCTCCTGCTTATGAGCACCTAAGACATGTCTGATTGTGAAAAATAAAGACGGATTATTTCTCATGTCTTCTTATATTTGCTAGTACTTAGAACATTTCTCTAATTACCTACTCACTGATGACTGACCAAAAACCAAAAGCTGTTATTGTTTATCTTAAACATGTATCTTCTGTATTTCCATAGTTCTATGAGAAAAGTGAAGCCAGCATGCATGAACATAGGTAACTCTTGCAAGACTCTTTGTCTTTGAAAAAATCAGTAATCACACAACCTCCAAATGCATCCACTGACAGCATCCCTGTTTATCTGGATTGAAAAAGAACAGCTGTACCAAACAACAAAACTGTTTAATTTCACTTGCAAGCACTTTGTCTTTCACTTCAAGCTCAGGTTTATAGATTTGTTCTCTCCTGAACTATCTCCAGTTAGTTGTTGTGCAATCAATAGACATTAGTTGTGATAATAGGAAGGCTCTCCCCTTCAGCTGATAAAACAGCTAACAAATTTGATATCTGACACCATCTAATTGGGTTGAATCAGTTGCAATTTTGCTACAGGCTGCAATTTGAAAATCTCTACAGAGTTTTCAGTTGAAAGGGAAGAAATAATAATTCTGTCAACAATACTTTTTAAATGGTGTTCAAAGTAGAACCAGGGAGCCCATATCAAGTAAAGAGCTCAAGATAACTGATAAAGTGGATTAAATGCATGGAAGTGAAATAGTGACTTTAATGACTACCAGAAATAGAAGCATCTTACAAAATGTTAACCTCAAAAAAATACAAATATATGAATCAGGAGGGGAAGAAAAGACAAAGTTTGCATATGTTCACTAGTGCCTGTTAAAGTGGGAATTAAAATTTAGAGAAGATTTGAAGGTAATCTAATTGATGTTGGATAAGCAAATCCATTTTAAAATCTCTTTTTACAAATTCATTTGTAACACATGCCATTCTATTGTACTTGTCCTAAATTGCTCTTCCATGATTAAACTGGAATAAGACATTATTGATTTCATTATTATGAACTTCTTACTATAATCCAGAAATTGCCATCCTGGGCAACTTTAGAAACTTCTGTTGGCTTCACATGAATGATCTTTTTTATTTCTATTTTAGGCTGTCTCCCAGGGGCATCTATGGGGTAGTATCAAAATGTCAAAATGCTCTGCAACCATACAATCAAAGCCCCACTGCTTTTTGGCAATAGGAAAAGTTTTCAAAATTATGTTTCTGTAAAGTGTTAGAATTACTTTCAATCTGCTGGAGAATAATCATGTTGCCCAACTATTATCGGCTGTTGATTAAGAAAAAATAAGATTCTTGTAGGCTAGTTGCTCCACATTTATTCAGAATTCTTTCGTTTATGGGATTTCCATGCGGGTAGATTTTAGGTTGTTCTTTTTGTTGTCCAATGTAAGGACTTGCTTAGGATTCTTCCTCCTTCTTTCCTTTTTCCCTCCCTACTTTCCTGCAACAGAGATACATGCCAGCAAGCTTTCCATTTACTAATAATTTCTTGTGCACTTTAATATGCTAGTTTTTGATATCCTTCCATCAGGAACTTTTCTATATATGGCCGAGAGAAAATATCTGCTAATTGTTTCTCCATCTCAGTTGAACTCAATAAATAACGCTGATCGACTGAAAGACATTGCCATGTCATGTTCCCGTTTTGCAAAAATGCATCTTCTTCCATCTATTGTATTTGGGGCACTGAATGGTTTTAGTCTATAATTTAGCAAAGCATGCATCACTGTGTGTGAATTGGGTGAGTAAGTAAATTTATTTAATAAATGAATAAAATAAATGTATCTTCTGGGGGCGGGGAGGACTTTCTGGAAGTGAGATACCTTTTTTGCAGGTAGGTTTGAGAGAAGTCCCATGTTTTCCAAGAATTGCATGCCAACTGTATAGTTTCTTTTTTGAACCCATCTCTATTATTGTGTGTTTTTCCACTCATTTTCTGGCCCTATGTGACAAAATGATTATATCATTTCCTTTTGTTCTTCAAAAGAAAATTACATTTACCAAAAGTAATAAATTGTTCCTATTTCCAAGCATAGGCTAAGTCCCAATAATTAAACATCACTCAATAATTACTGCATGGCAAAATAATTCCACCTTTGTGTTCCCAGTTATCCTGCCTGCTCTCATTTTTTTGCCACATCAGATAATTGCTCTGTCATCACTGCATGTATAAAGCTGATGCCTTTAAATGTCATAAAGAAAAAAGAATTTTTCCAGATCTTTTTTTTTTTTTTTGGCAGTTGCATTTTGTATTCTCAAATGAAGAGTCCAGCCATCTTATTTAGTTCTCTAAAACTGACTGCTAAATCCTCCCAACCATCCAAATGTGATCAAGCTAAGGCAGTCTTTCTCAACCTTAGCAATTTTTTAAAAGGGTAAATTTTAGTTCCAGAATTTGGAGTTAAAACTGCCTTGAGACAAAAGCCCAAGATAACTGGTTCCCAATCCTGCATTATTACAACCTTATGCTGGTTTTTTCTTTAATTATTACCAGTAGGCTTCTATGTCTTTCAGCTTTAAGACCCAAAGTGATAAAAAATATTCAAGAACCCAAATTGTCAGAACAGACTGAGGAATTGAATGAATAAAGTGTCCATAAGAGCTTTGTGCTCACAATATTAACACCCTTCTCTTAATTACTGGGGGAAATGCCATCATTAGGCAACAATCTTCACTCCCTAGAGGATCTGTATAAAAAACACACGGTGTTTTTATAAGTATACAAGGCAAGAGGAGCAGGAGTGACCATCACTAGGCCTTTCTATTTCCATTTATTTTCTCAAATGAATACCCATGTTCAGGGGTAGGCAACCCAAAACACTCAAAGAGCCACTTGAACCCGTTTCTCACCAAAAACAAAACACCGGGAGCCGCAAAACCCTTTTGATATCTAAAATGAAGATAACACTGCATATATCCTTTTTTATCTTTATTATAAGTGTGTGTGTGTGTGTGAGAGAGAGAGAGAGAGAGAGAGAGAGAGTGTTTGTGTATGTGTGTGTGTGTACACACACACACACACCCACACACACATTAAAAATAAAAGTAAAAATATGACTCTTGGGAATATCCCTACTATTAAAACAATGATCACCGAGAGAATGCTTTAAGAGAATAAAATTACATACACACATAGGTAAAAAAAGGATATATGCAGTGTTATCTTCATTTTAGATGTCAAAAGGGTCTCTCTCTCTCTGTCTCTCTCCCTCCCTCCCTCTCTGTCTGCCCTTGGTCTGCCACTCCTCTTCCCCCACTCTCTTTCTTTCTCTCTCTTTCCTCTCTCTCTCCCCCTCCCCCTTTCTCTCTCTCTTTCTCCCCCCCCATCTGCTGCTCACCTGGCAAGCTTCAAGTTGTTCTCCAACAATCTCAGGGGTAGGCAACCTCGTCTCTTTTATGACTCATGGACTTCAACTCCCAGAATTCCTGAGTCAGCCTAGCTGGGCTAGCTAGCTCTCTCCTGCCCTTCCTGTTTCCTGTTTCCTGCAGAGACGCAGCAAAGGGAGGAGCTCTGCCCAGTAAGCTTTTCAGCTCCTCGGAGAACAATGTGAGTGCACTCTCTTTTACACATATATACACACACACACACAAAACACACACACACACAAAACACACACACACACACACACAGAGAGAGAGAGAGAGAGAGAAGCAGGGAAGCGCAATTGCCTCTCTCTGTCTCTCTCTGCAACGGCAGAGGAGGCTGGGAGCCACAGGGGAAGGCTCAAAGAGCCGCATGCGGCTCCGGAGCCGCAGGTTGCCGACCTGTGCCCATGTTGAATGAGTATTTAAATAAAATAGTTTGGTTTTAGCTTTCCTTTATGAAGAGAAAGGAAAGAAAGTCCCAAAGGTGCTTTTTCGAGAAGGAAAGGAAAGGGAAAGGGAAAGGGAAAGCTCTCATAGATGCTCTTACTTGAGACATT